TTTAGTTTTGAATTTAAGTATCGGTTAGAGAAGGACTAAATTAAACATACCCTAAAGATTATAGACCTAGGTTCGGAAATTTTTAATCAATAGGTGTTCGTTTGTTGAGAAGATAGATGTTTGAGCGCGTATATTCATCCAAGCCGATGTGTGGCGAGAACCGAACTGCTTATGGTAGCTTGGACCAGACCATAAAAGATTGACACAATGTTGAGATTGTCCCCATGCTCGGGTTCGAGCTCATGCTGAGAGTCTATTTCGCAACCGCAAGCCAAGTAACAAATGCATTTGTACCTTGTTTAGTTGTTTCAACCGTACGGCGCTGCTTCAACTAGCCAAGTACCAAGTGTACTTAATGTTTTGATGAAATCAGCCACTAATATTCGTAGTTTCAAAAGCTTTCCTCCAAATCAAAGAACCCGTATAGAGCCATCCCAAAGAGAGCTTCACATCTTTTAAAACATGTTCAAAATAACGAACTTTGTTTACTTACATAAGTTTGAATCAGATTTACTCACCAATTTTTGCTCTAATGTCCAAAAATGGGAAACAGAACCTCAAAACAATTTTTGTATATGGGATTCTATAATTCAATTATCTTAACCCTTTTTAATTCTTCTAAAATGATAATAATTTCTCAAACACAGGGACACTTACTATTGATGTACTACAAACACTAAATAGACGTAACAAGGAAATGGGGCCTGTTGGAGCAACATCAAAATTGATTTTAGCATAAAAATATTTAAATCGAAAGACCTAGCCTATGCTTTGTGAGAGCATCCACATTGGAGATATTTTGTGGGTGTCTCACAATATAAAATTATTAAAATTTGAGTAAAAGAAAGAAAGAGAGTGTTTTTTGTTGAAATAGTGTGGTGTATTGAAATATAAAATTAATAAAATTTGAGTAAAGAGAAGAGATAATGGGTATTTTTGGAGAGATTGTGTCTTGGGGAAGACATAAGAGAGAGAGAATTGGGGGTGTGTTTAAATATAAAATTAATAAAAGTTGAGTAAAAGGATGAANGAGAANGTATAAAGTTGAGTAAAAGGANGANNGAGNNNGTTTTTAATATTTTTATATTGTGAGACATTGGTAAAATGTCTCCAATGTGGATGGCCTGATGGACTTAGAATTAGAAACTGTGGATTTTTATTATTTTACTCATGTCTCTATCCTTCATACTATTTTCAACCCGATTTTTACTATTACAGTAACTTCAAAAATGATCTATCAACAAATTAGGGTTTAACCTGTTAGAAAGCTGTTTCAGAATACAAGTGTTTGTCAAATAAATTCTTCATCCCCCTTTGGGTGAGTACAATGAGCTATATATAAAAATTCTAGATAAAATGGGTCAGCTAATAAAATGGGTTTGGCCCACTACACAATATATCTAATTTAGGCACATTATTTCATCAAACCTATTTTGCTGATGGGTTTAATGTTATTTTGGGCCTAGATTCAGACTGTGCATTTGAAGACATGCTTTGATTTCGTCGAACCTTGCGAAGTTGATCTCGTCGCCATATCGATTTCATAGGGGTGAAATCCGACCCTACAGTTAGTCCCCAGCTTGGCAAAATCGAGTTATGATGATGCCTAAAAGTTACTGAAGTCTGAGATCGATGTGTTAGACTGCGAAGTTGCCAGGCGTGGACGTCTTATCACCGAACTCGGAAAGTTTCCGTTATTTCGCGTTGAGCTGATGTCTGCATGTATTCCTGGGCTTGTTTTCTTTTTCTTTGTCTTAGAAGACTGAGGAGGTTGATGGTCTTTTGTGTTAGCGAGCTTTGAGGCCTGTTGGAAAGTGATTTCAGGAAATTCTCCGAGTATAAATAAATATGTTTCTTTGGAGTTATTTTCTACCAATTCGCTTTCTCCTAAGCAAAAGGTAAAAAAATCTTCTCCTTTTCTGCCTCTATATTTTATTATGATTTTTTATAGGTTTTTGATTTTATTTTTGTCGTCACGCCGCCGTCACCTCCTCTCGATATTTTCTCGAGCTAGCTCGACCTCCGGCGGAAGCTTAACCGCGGAAGAGCGAGACAGGCAGATCCGGCAAGTCCTCCGGCAGGCTCGACGTCGCGACGATAACAAGGTGAGAGAGAGATCCGGCTTACTTCACGTTGGGAGAGGCGACATTCGTTGATGGTTCCGGCGGAGCGACGTTCGTTGCGGCGTTTGTGGACTGCTAGGCAAGACGAGGCGGCAACGAGATCGTTCGAGAAAAACAGCGATTTGTGATCTCACGAGTTGACTCGCGAGTCAACTCGGTCAATGAGTTTTTTTTTATCTCAGCAACTCAGTGATTCGACGCTTCGGCGACTCAGTGGTTTGACGACTCGGCGACTCAGCGATTCGATGATTCGGTGACTTAGTGACTTAATGACTTGGCGCAACGACTCAATGACTTGGCAATAACGCTGGCTTCGTGGAGCGACACTGACTCAGATCGTTGCTCTTTCGTGCAGCGGAGAGGTTAATAGAAAAGAATGGTTTACGACTCTATGGACTCGCAGCTTGATCGTTCGCGCGACATGGATAGCAATGAGACTATTTCAGACTTAGATGATTCTGGAGATATGGTCAATGACCTTTGCTTCTTGGAAGGAGGATGATTCTTACTCTGGAGCTCGACACTGGTAGTTCGACAAGGCCGACCTCCTCTAATACTATAGTCACGGTTGGAGAGGTTCGCGATGAGATTATGGTTTTACCAGCTGCCATGAGGCAGAGGTCTTGTGACGATTCAATCGAGCGTGGTCAACGAAGCTTGCGTCGCGCAGTGAAGGTGGCGACGGTGCCGCATGGTGAATTGGAGCTCGATCGGCGAGGTTACGCGACAGCGACGAGGTGACGCGATGGCAACAAGGTGAAATTGAGCTCGATCAGAAGGTGACATCGGCAACGAGGTGTCGCGACGGCGATGAGGTGATCTGATGGCCATGAGGTGATGCGATGGCAACGAGGTAAAGTGGAGCTCGATCGGAAGGTGACATCGGCGAGGAGGTGATGTGACGGCGACGAAGTGATGCGATGGCAACAAGGTGAGGTTAGTGAAAGTGATGCGATGACATGGCGAAACTTCATCAATGCGACGACGAGGCAAAGCTTGATCGATGCGATGACGAGGCAAAGTTTGGCTAATGCGACGACGAGGTAAAGCTTAATTGACGCGACGATGAGGCAAAACTTATCGATGTGACGGTGCAGCAAAGTTTGATCGATGCAACGTGAAGCAAATTCAGTGAACGTGACGCAACGGCTATGCGAAACTTGATCGATGCGACGGCGAGGTAAAGATGACGGCATCACAAGGTGAATTACGACCAGGTCCCATGATGTCGACTTTGATGAGGTGATTGATTGATGACGCAAAGTCGACGAGGTGATTGACAAAAGTAATTCGGACTCATCATGGAGTGGAGAGACTCGACAATAAGTTGAATCCGAAGACATTTGGCAACGAAGTGATGATGCAACGAAGCGAGATTGATTTGTGGATCCGACGTCGAGGTGGACTCGTGTTGATGACAAAGTGATCGTGTTTACCTAAAGCCAAGGTGGACTTGTGACTGTTTTAAGAAGCAGAAAAAGACGCAGAGGATCGCGTTGCTTTACTCCAAGCTGCTGTAAAGAAAATCAAGAATAGGCATGAGGAAGCGTATTCAGGAGGAAGTGTCTGACCATACCACCCGCTTAGATGTTGCTACCAAGCTTCAATATGCAGGTATGCAGCGGGCTATTGATGAAGCGAAGCACGAACTGGTGGCGAAGTACGAGGTGAGGACTGACCATACTAGAGAGAAGATCAAAGTGATCAATGGCCAGCTGAGGATTGACATAATTGATCTTGCTGAAGTTCGGAGTAACATTGAGTTCGTAAAGTTTCTTTAGACTGACAAGTCACCTGATCTTGGTGAAGAGCTAGTTGACCTTGAGAAGCAGGAGGCGGACCTATCACTCGTAGATGAGGTGTTTTCTAAGCATATGCACGATCTCTGAGGGATCCTTAGGGATTCGCCAGTTAGCACAACCGATGATCGAGCTGAGGAATTGGACGTTGATGTCGTTGAAGAGGAGGCTGACTCGGATTCGAGTTCTTATGATTCGTCAAGCGATGATGACTTGTCAAATTCTGCGGCGATGATTTAAGCAGGCTGTCAAGATTGCTGACGACGTTGAGGAGACCGCGCCTTAGTTTTTGATTTTCTTTCATCTGGGATTGTGTTTATCCTTGTGTTTGGATTTATCATTGTTTTTAGATGGAATTTATGAAAATAGCTTTTATGATTCTTGTTCTTGTCTTTCGGATGGACCGTTTTATTGCTAAGTCTTTCGTCCGTGACGCTGATGCGCTGGTGGGCCTGGCTGCTCATTAGTAAGCCAAATGATTTGTTTATATTTACTATCTTTGATGCAAGGATGGTTTATCGACGAGTCTGTGTCGATGCAGCCGCTCCTAGAATGACCGTGTTATTGCGTAATGATCAACAATTAAGTTGTTGGGTTTTGACCAGGCAGATGCGTGCTAGCTTTTTGAGATGAACATTCTGGTTTACGAATATGTTCCCGTGAACAAGTCCGCTCCAGCAATGAACACAAGATTTTGACCAACTAGATATGTGCTGTGTTTCTGAGTTGAACATTCTAGTTTACGGATATGTTCCCGTGAACATATCCGCTCTAGTAATGAACACTGAATTTATATAGCGCACTTTAATCCGTTGGGGATGTAGAGTTCATTACTATGGCCAACAGCAATGGTGTGATGAAGAGAAGTCTGTTTTAGAAAAGACTTTGAATGTATTTGCAAGTAAAAACTTGGCTTTTGAAAGTTGATTTTGTCAAATTTGTAAGTGAACACTTGGCATTTTTTTTTTTAGGTTTGCAAGTAAAC